TATTTATTTATTTATTTATTTATTTATTTATTTATTTATTTATTTATTTATTTATTTATTTATGTGTATACAGATTAGAGTCTTTATATATTCCTTTAGAGAAAGCATATCTTCTTTTCTTACAACAAACAAAAGCAGGAAAAAATACAAATGCAGCAGCAGCAGCAGCAGCAGCAGCAGCAGCAGCAGCAGATAAATTGAGGTGTATAGGCACCTCATTGCAGCAACTAATTAATCAATTAGAGATAGAAGGAATTTCTATTCCTTCTTTACAAGAAATAAATAATAAATTTAATTCCTTTATTATACAAAATAATCAATAAACCCTTGAGGGTTTAGGGTTTAGGGTTTAGGGTTTAGGGTTTATGGAGGGGTTTCCTTTTTTTCTTTTTTTATATTCCTCTAAACCCTAAAACTTCCTCTTGTTTTAATTTTATTTTTAATTTATTTATAATATAATTATTATTTATTTATTTATTTATTTATTTATTTATTTATTTATTTATTTAGTAATATAGTATAGTAATATAAATAAGTTATAAGAAATACAAAGAAAAAATAAACATGAATTATATATTTGCATATTAGACCGTGCACATGCTGCCTTCAGGTTAAGGGTTTAGGGTTTAGGGTTTAGGGTTTACCGTTTAGGGTTTAGGGTTTAGGGTTTATGAGGGTTTAGGGTTTAGGGTTTTATGTATCATGAGTTCTTATTGACTGCAGATAGTTTATCTATAAATAAAAATAATTTTATTCTTTTTTTATTAAATATATTTCTTTATTATTATTTAAATAAATAAAATAAAAAGGAAAAGAAGAAAAAAGAAGAAAAAAGAAGAAAAAAGAAGAAAATAAATGAATAAAGGAATAAGGTGTACAGCTTTCCTTGCTTACTGAGCTGCCTATACACCCGAAGGGAGTGTATAAGAAAGGAGGACGATTAAGACTTATTTATGAATAAAAAAAGGGAATAAAGTAAAAAAAAGAACAATAAATAAATAAATAAATAAAATATAATAAAAAGAATTAATAAAAAAAGAATGAATAAAATATATATAAATATTTTTTTTCTTTTTTTTTTCCTCTTTTTTTTTTCCTTAAGAAATATTTATTCAATTAAATTATTTAATAAAAATAAATTTTTTTCTCAACTTGCTGCAGGAGCAATACAAGGATCTATACAATCATTAATTCCTCAGCAGCAACTGCAGCAAGGAATGCCATTTGCTGCTGCTGCTGCTGCAGCACCAACAGCAGCAGCAGCACCAACAGCAACAGCAGCAGCAGTTCAACTTCCTGCTATTGATGCAGGTCCGCTACTTATTTATTTATTTATTTATTTATTTATTTATTTATTTATTTATTTATTTATTTGTGTATTTACCTATTTATTTATTTATATTTATTTTTTAATTTATTTATATTTATTTATTTATATTTATATTTATTTATTTATTTATATTTATATTTATATTTATATTTATTTATTTATTTATTTATTTATTTATTTATTTATTTATTTATTTATTTATTTATTAATATAGAGAGGACAGAGAAATTAGAAACAATGCAGAAATTATTAAATCGTAAAATTGAACAAAATAAAGAATTAAAAGAAAAATTAATTCAAGAATTAAATTATATGAAGGAAGAAGGTAAATAAATAAATAAATAAATAAATAAATAAATAAATAAATAAATATAATTGAATAATTAATTAATTATATTTATTTATTTATTTATTTATTTATTTTATTTATTTTTTGTAGGTCTACTGGAGACACAAAAAGGAACAACTGCATTACAAGGTATTTATTTCTTTTTATTTTATTTAATTAAAATATGTATATAAATAAATAAATAAATATATAAATAAATAAATAATAAATAATACAAATAAATGAATAAATAAATAAATATACAAATAAATAAATAATAAATAAATAAATAATTATATAATTATTATTATTGCAGCACCAAGAGCAGCAAAAGGACAAACAGGCGCAAGTAAGCAAACTAATTAATTAATTAATTTATAATTAATTAATTAATTAATTAATCTATTTATTTAGTTTATTTATATTTATTTATTTATTTATTTATTTATTTATTTATTTATTTATTTTATTTATTTAATGAACTTGTGTATCTTTTGTGCCGATTTCCTTGTCGATGCAAATAAAAAAGTTGAATTTTTTTCTTTTTTTCTTGATTTTTTCTTCTTTTGTTGTATATTTGTCCTTATTTTTCCCTTTTTTATTAATTAAATAAATTAAATTAAATAAATTAAATAAAATAAATGAATTTTATTTCTTTTTTTTCTTCTTTTTCTCCTAAAAGTTGGCGGGATGTTGCCCGATCTGGGTGCTCCGGTGATATTTATGGAGCCACCGCCAGTAACTGAATCACAGACATTAGAGGTTCGTTTTTTGTGTAAAAAAGGGGTAAAAAAGCGTAAAAAAAGAGAAAAAAAAGAAATAAAATATAAAAAATGTATAAATAAAAGAAAATTTGGAGAAAAATGGTATTTTTTATGCCTTTTTTTAGGCTGCAGATGTTGCACAATCTACTCTTGAACAAATAGGCGACCGATCAAGCCCATCTATGCGTGCAATAAGAGAATACGAATTAAAGAAATTAGGGGAGATTTCTGGCACAAATTTGGAGGTAAAAAGGAGAAAAAAATATATAATTTAATTAATATAATTAAATATAATTATATTATTAAAAAAAATACAAAAAAATATGTATTTTTATACCTTTTTATCATCTTTATTTAAGGAAATACGTAACGAAATAAGGGAAACAGAATCTGCAATAGAAAAAAGAAAAAAAGAAAGAAATGAATTAACAAATAAGTAAATAAATAATATATTTATTCTTTTTTTTTTTATATTTATTTATTTATTATATATTTATTTATTTATTTTTATTTATTTTATTTATTTTTATTCTTTTTTTCCTCCTTTTTTCTCTTAGATTAAAGGATGCAGCAAGACAATTGGCTAAGTCAGGAACTCGTCAACTTGAGCTTGAGACAACATTTGCTAATTCAGGTCTTTTTTTCTTCTTTTTTTTCTCCTTTTTTCTTCTTTTTTTTGTATTAAATAAATATTATTTAATTAATTATATATAATAATTAAATTATATTATTAATTTACTCCTTTTTTATGCCCTTTTTCTGCAGATTTAAAGGAAAAATCTAAAGAATTAGATATTCTTGCGGATAAATTAACACAATTAAAAACAAAAGAAAGAAATTTAATAGAAAAAGAAGTAAATAAATAAATAAATAAATAAATAAATAAATAAATAAATAAATAAATAAATTAATTAATTAATTAATTAATTAATTAAAATAATTTATTTTATTTTGTTTATAGGGGCCTGGAAAGGAGGCGGCAGAAGAACTCGGTAGGTAACAGCAGCAACTAATTTGCTGCTGCTGCTGCTGT